TTGAAAAGGTTTTGTTTCCCCCGTCAATTGGTATTCAAACCAGGTCAGCAGATTCTGTTTGCCCGGCTCCGCTGCCGTTTTCATTTTAATTTGCACCTGTTGTGCAGTTGTTCCGAAGGCAAGTGCAGACCCGCGGATTATACAAAGATCATATTATGAGCAGATATGCACGGTGTAATCTTTTTGTCCCCAGCCTCACATGACAAAAAAAATCTCTCTCTTTTTGTTCCTTTTTTACTCCCTGGGAACCTGTCAAAGCAAACAGATATGACTGACTAAAATTTGTAACTAGACATGTTTCCAGAATTCTCCAAAAGCATTATGAACCTGACACACAATCCTTTTCATTTTTTTTTTCCTCCTTTGCTGCCACTTTTGTATAATCCGATGGCTGGCAAGAGCCACTTGAGATAGCCCAGTTGATAACTTAGCGGAGGATTGCTTTATTAGGCGCAGAGAAATCAAAATGAACCTGAAAATTGTTTGCGCTTTTTTTTTTCCATGGGCTTTTTTTTCCCCCCTTTCTCTCTCTCCCTCTTGTTCCCATGATGTCATGGTTCTAACTTGTTTTTTTGTGTGTGTTTCTGGAGAGTTGGGTTAACAGTTCTTGGCAATCCTGTGTGTGCGTAACGGCTGGTGTGTTTCTCTAGCTGAGCTAATGCCCCGTGTTTATTACTCTAATCTTTCTTGTCTGGTGGTAAAGTGGACAATTTATGTACTAGCATGTAGGCCGAGAGCCTGTGAGGGCTGACTAATTCAGAAACAGCCACCTTCAATTGAGTTCACAGACCTTATTTACAGGCTGTCTATTTTAAGAAAAGCTACTGAGCATTGCTGGGACTGAGGGCTGCAAAAGCAGGCCGCCGGTTCTTGTGAGTTATTTTAGCATTGGTGTTGGTCTTGCCTGTGTCACTTTGAAATCTTCTGTAATTATGGCGCTATGAAGACGTCTCAATAGTAGTATTAATGGCCCAGAAGATATGGCTTTTCCTCATTTTCTGCTTAAAAGATTGGGATATAAATGGCCTTAGCACATGACGGTTGACGTAGAAGCAGCAGTGAACGTTTCAGATTGAACAGGTTTGTGTCTGTGTTTGTGTATTGAGTAAATAGATGGACAGAGTGTGTGTGTGTGTGTGTGTGTGTGTGTGTGTGTGTCTATGGTTTCTAGGAATAAAGCCACAGCTAATATAGTGAAGTCATGTCGTATTTATAGTACAACATTTTATAGCACACACTCCATGTCACTAAGCTAATAAAATTGTCCCTTGCAGATCTATGTAATAAGTTTTTGTGGAGTACCGAAAAGTGCATATGGCAGCGTGTCTCTTTGCATAGGCAATCTAGATGCATTTTTCAGTCTATGCGCTACTGTTGCTTTTTAAAATTTCCCATCTTTTTAGTAAAACACTCTTTAAAATCCGAAAGAGTGTGTAGCTGTAATTGAATAAGAATAAAAATGCTAAAACATGAAAGATATTAATTATATTTTCCTGACATGGTTGAGTAATTAAGTGATGAAAATATTAATTATTTTCCATTCAACTGAACAATTAGGGGCGACTGATATTTTTCAATAACGTGTTTAGACAGAGTGTGTTCTGTGCTTTCTCTTCAGTGGTGAACTATGACAATGTAGTGGACACAGGTTCGGAGACAGATGAGGAGGACAAGCTTCAGATTGCTGAGGAGGACGGGATTGCTAACCCTCTGGACCAGGAGAGGAGTCCAGCTAGCGTGCCCAACCATGAGTCCTCCCCACACGTGAGCCAAGCTCTGCTGCCGAGAGAAGAAGAGGAAGATGACATAAGGGAGGGTGGAGTGGAACATACCTGGCACGGCGCCGACATTCTGCAAGCCTCTGTGGATGGTCCAGGTAAGCGTCTAAAACGACCTGGCCCCTTCCTGTGCCATCTTCAGCTGACCTCTACCACCTAGCGGAACGGCCATGATCAGATAATTAAAATATTTCTTTGCACACTAGAGATACCAAAGCTGGTGACAGATTATGGAGTGATAGTAGCGTTATCGCCTTACAGTACTAACATCTTAGGAAGGGATTATGTTTCAGTTTGGGTACAAGTTGAATATGAACTGCATGCTATTTATTTATATTGATTTATTTTTAAATGTTTATTTTTAGTTATTTTGGGAGGGAGGAAGGGAGGCACAGAGAGAGAGAAAGAGAGAGAGAGAGAGGGAAAGAGAATCCCAAGCAGGCCCCGAGCTGTCGGCACAGAGCCCGACGCGGGGCTCGATCCCACGAACCCGGGATGGTGACCTGAGCCAGAATCGAGAGTCAGACGCTTAACCCACTGAGCCACCCAGGCACCCCGGAACGACATTTTAAACACACAACGTGTGAAGTATTTGTACCCCGTTTACAATGTGCACTTTATATAACATGCTCAAGATCTAGGCTTTCAGGATAGAAAATGGAAGCAGACATAAAAACTCACAACTAATACATATTTGAAAATTTTGTGTGGAAATTATATAACAATACAGAGCAAGTATGTGTCAGTTTAAGGTAGTTTCAGCATCTGTCTGACACCTTCTATTGTAATTCAACCATCTAATCATTCCCCTTTGTTAAGTGTGAATGTGATTTCACACTTTCACCTGGTCAGGTAGCTTTTTTTTATTATTTAACAGTTAAGTACTTGATAATGAGTCCTGCTGTTTGGTGGGAATCTCTAGGGAAGTAAAACCGCTCCAAGGCCAACTGTCATAAAAATAAGGTAAATTATCTTCAGACCCAGACTTCACAGGCCACTCACTCTGCATATGGAAATGTCTTGGTCTAAAATTCATGTGGATGGAATAGCACTAAGGTATGAAATGATTAACAAAATCAAAGAGAACTAATCGGATGCCCTCAAACTCCCTCTGCTCATCTCTACTCGGTGAGGTGGCCTGCAAAAAAATGTTTTAAGGACTCCTCCAATTCAAACCATAGTGTCTCCTTCACCTCTCTTCCCAAGACTCAAGGAGAGCTGTCATGATGTACCCCACTTTGTTTTTTCTCTCACGATATAAATAACAATAGCATTTTTATAAATAGGCGAAGTGGGTGGGAAGGGAAGTAAACGCAAGAGTCTACCTATATGCTATTGTGATGTCGCAGACTATAAAACATCGAACATAGGCAGGGTAATTGTTTGGTATACTGGAAGGAGGATAATAAAAGCATTTCCACCACTAAAGAAAATTAAATGTGGAAAAAAAGAAAAAAACCCAAGACCGATGGCAGTTTGAGTGTAGTGTATTTGTTTTTCGTTTTCCTAAATTAGTGTGCCAAGTTTTGTATTCTTTCTGTTTCCAATTTTGCTTTCGGTGAAGGTTTCTCGAATCTCAGCAATCCTACACATAAACATTTATCGTTATATCCATTAAGACTTAAGGTTTTAGATTTTCAACTATGAGGGAGAACTCAGCCAAAGATGCTTGAAAGATAAATACGTTTAATTAGGGGCAGAGGATGATCATTAAAGGAAGTCTGACTGCTGCAGAAGTCATTAACAATCTTAAATGAAATTTTTATTTTTATGATAGCCATTTACATGTATAATAAGAGCCAATGATTCTTGGGAGCAGTGTGACAGAAACAGAGTGTGGCGAGAACTCATGTAAGACATACTATTTAAATGAGCTGGTGTTAGCTATTCATATTTGTTAATGAACTAGATATGCAGGGCTATAAGAATGAATGTTCTGATGCTTTAAATTTTAATATCTAGAAATCAAGGGTAAGGACCAATTACTAGAATTTCCACCCTTAAAGGAATAATTAATAACGATATAACAAATGTACGGCTCCAAACTTCTTAAAAAAAAAAGTTTAATTTTAAAAAATTAAGATCAATAATTGAAAAACAGCCAAAACAGTCATGTCAAGCTGTAGTAGTTCAGGATCATGGCAGCTTTTTGTGCTGGTCATGGATCATAATTCTAAATGTTTTAATATACAATAATCCATATGAATGCATTACAGACCCTGTTATCACCTGTAGTTAATGGTGCCTGTGACACAAATGAACAGGCTGTTCTTTGCTCTTACCTTTATGGTAAATAAACTAGCATTCTGGAGTCACAATAATTAAATAAAATGTAAATCCCTAATCTCATTTGGCTATTTGGACCAAGAAAGTTACCCGGCTATTACCTGTCTAGTTCTAATGATTAGTGATGATTTATTGTTCTTTTTTTTTATTGTTCCAAAAGTGCTCTGATGTGGTGCCTTGATGTCTCATGAAAAGAAATTGGTCTTAAAAAGCTACTCATTGTTTATCCTGACTCTTAGATAACACATTTTTCTTCTGATAAAATATTTTTCTTATTTATTGTTCAAAACACACAATATAGACAATAATTCTAATTCTGGTGCTGTTTTATTTAGTAGTGTTTTATCCCTGGTGCCTGGCTGTCTACCATCGTACCTCAGCACATAGCTTTACTGTGAGATAAGCCCCCTGTCCTTTACTCTTTCTCGCAGGCTTTCTGTGGTTTGTCTGCAGGATGCAGGTTTTGAACTGAAGAGTGCAATGGAGTTCTTACTGTGCCTTTCCGGTTCCAGCACAATCCAAGTTTTGTGTTTAGAATTGTCCTTGACATTCTTTCGTCCCACAATGGGGTGGACACAGTGTGCTGGAAACCATGACATCATTATCATTGACACAGACTTAAATAAATCACCTGCATCTTGGCCTCTTTGTGCTTATTCAAGGATTCTTCATCTTAAGGAAGAAAGTGCTCTTTATTTTTACAAACCTTCATCCCAAGGGTGACTGGAAAATGCAAACTTTTACAAGTGTTTGAAAAACAAATATGCTGTGTGGTTTTAGACACAGTATGCTGAGTCAGAGTTGTCTTGGAAAATGTTTAAGGTCGGGTGTGAGGCAGAAGGACAGCCCGGATTGCCATGAATTCAGAGGAGGGATTCTTAACCGACCTATTATTGTGGCCTTCTGAATGTGGAGTCACATGAAACTTCATCAAGTAGGCATATATGTGGTATTTCAAAAACATACCTGAAAAGGATTCGTGTTTCATCATAATAAATTGAGCCTGATACTCCAAAAAGGCAAAGTTGATTCTCAGTAAGTTGAGGCAAAGTACATTCTAGGTAAGAGTGACACCATCTCAGTTGCATAATCTCTGGTAAAAGAATTATAGCCAAAGTATTACCACAGAACGTGATACCCACAAGATGCCAACTACACATTTGTATAGCCGGCGTTTAATAATTTGGGAAGCAACCACCTACTGTAACTTCTCTTTACTTTTTCATAAGAAAATGACAATGAGGAAGGAAGTGCAGCAGAAATCTTGAACATTACCACTATTATGCAAAAAAAAAAAAAAAAAAAAAAAAAAAAAAAAAAAAGAAATGCTGTTAACTGTTTTCCCCTCAATGACTTGATCTCTCAGATGGAAAACTTATGATTGTTCTGACTCTTGGCTACCAGAAATCACATGAGATGAGCGAGGAAGAAACACACAAAAGCTATATTTATAGCCAGCACTGAACTTCTCAGAAATACCTTAATTTAATTCCTTCCAGAGACTGATAAAAATATCAGATGAGGGAGCCTTTCAACCGATCAATTATTACAATTGACAATACAATATGGCTGTATATTGAACTTCCAAATGTTTTATGCAAAACGTCCCTGCGAAAATATTCCTTAAATGAGAGAGAAGTCCAGGGCCAGAGACAAATGAAAGTGCTCCCACAGTTTAAACAAATACCATTCAAATCATCTGACTGTTATGGGTAGTAGCATTAAATAAGCATCTATTTATACATCTGTGTGTTTTACCTTAAAAGGCCCATGATTTTTTTTTAGTTCTGATAACATAAACAGAGAGGCTGCAGGATACAACTTGTAAAACATATATTTTAATTTTGCTGTAACATTTGCTAGAACCTGTTTTTCTACCAGATAATTATGACTAGAATGTGATAAGCAAAGAATGGTCAGGATAAATTTGGGAATTTGCAGAGTCCTATTTATAAAGTTTCTCTGGTTTTAAGTCAAATGACGATCAGAGAGATATTTATCCTGGATCGTGTTTGGTTCTCCTTAGCCTTGTTATTGTCAAAATACAATTTTTTAAAGTCCGGGTTTAATTTACTGACTTGGAGGATTTTTGACTGTCAGCTGTCCTTCTCCGCCCTCTCACATACTCCATAATTTGGGAGGCAGAACATTCTAGAGCTCTCCCAGTTTGCAAACTCTCCCTAATTCAAAATATTGCCATTGTGGAAAACAACCTTTTATCACCTATGCATCTTCAAGCTCCGTGTTAACATAGTTTCATCTTCATCACCACATTGAGCTCTTGCTGCCCCTATACGTTTTTCCTCAGAAGATGACTGCAATTCTATACGGTAGCCTAAATGATAAGGAAGAAAGATATTTATGGAACGGTAGGGAAAAGCTTAAGGAAGGTATGTTTTAGGAGTTTATATAAAACAGTGAAACGTGTTTTCAAGACCTCTGGGATGTGTGCTTTATAAACCGGGAATTTCAAGTTTTGATATGTAGAATTAGGTTTTAAAAAGATATGCCTGCACAGATTGGCCCCCATCATAGCTCCTCCAAGAGGGGAGAAAGCATGAGATTCTGACTGGCCACGAGTCCTCCTGAGTTACCAGAGGCCCAGCAACTAGCATGCTTCTCCCTAAGTACAAACCCTTCGTTGCTTTCAACTCGTATGGAAAAAATAATATCTTTCCCCCTGTTTGTCCCGAGAGCTGCCACCACAAGAAAAGCCCTTCGTTTGCCCCAAAGAAGCACCTCTGTTTTTCACAGCTTGCAGTAATGCTTAAAGTAAATAAGTTCTTGTGCAGCTAGCACTATTGGATTCATTCAATTGCCTGAACAAAGCTATTGTTTAGAGGTTTACAACAAGCCTTTTCTCTGTTTCCTTTAAAAGAATCTTCCTTGTTCCTGTGGTTGGCATGCTTAGTATAGTAAGCCTTTCTACAGTGTTCAAATGCTAAAGATAATTTTCCCCCACAGAAGAAATGAAGGAAGACTATGACACTATGGGGCCGGAAGCCACGATCCAGACCGCAGTTAACAATGGTACAGGTAAGTTGTGTTTACCTCGCCAAGTTCAAATTTGTCCTGTGTCATGTGGATTTGGTGAGTCAGGAAAAGAAACACTGGCCCCTCCATTTGGATCTCCATGACTTAACAATTAAGTCAGACATTACAAGTCTCTTATTTTGTTTCAAATCAGAGTTCTCTTTTTTATTTTATGTTATTTTATGTTATTTTATTTTATTCAGCAAATATATCTTTCATTCTTAAACCCCTGATTCACCTGTGAAAGTTGAGAAAACTGAACTGGATAAACATATTTTTTTCAAAGCATGAGTTGGGAAAATTTCTGGTAGTAATTTTTATTTTAAAAGGCTGCATAAATAATCTTAAAATTAGAATGTAATATGACTCTTCTGGCCACCACTTGATATCAGTCATCGAGAATTCAAATGATATGCTGTAATTTAGATTGTAAATGTTTTTTTCAGGAAGACAAACCAAATTTCCATGTACATTCCTCACAAAAATTGATCATCTGACTTCTATTCTCTCCTCACTGTTAATTCTCGGTACCTTCCACCTCCTCTAAATAATGTTTTCCAGGCAGAAGTTTTATAGAGAATTGACAATTTCACTTCTTTTTAATGAAGCTAAAAAAAAATTACAGTAAGAAAGCAGTAAGCAGTCTTTTCTTTTACTCTGCTCCTGCTGTGGAATGGGACTTCAGGACAGTTGTGACATTCCATGTTCCTCCCCCAAAACTGAACAGCGTCTTGCCTTGCATTCTCACATCACCAGTGCAAATGTACATTGACTCACTACGTTTATCTCTCTTTTCCTGGATAAGGCTAATTATTTTTGGTGTTATAAACAATCCTTCACACTGCCATTACAAATATGAACCTAGTGCCCAGTCGAAGGTTATCTTCCAAAACAAAACAAAACAAAAATCCCATAAGTATTTCCACTCAACTCACCAATGGGAAAAAAGTTACAGTTTTGTGAAGTTTTGAAATGTAAATAATTCAGACAATAGTCATATCTCTCTTGTGTTGATACACATCATAATAAACTGCTCATGTTGTGCTTCTAGTTAGAATGTTCTTATTAATAACTTACAAGGCACTAATTCACTTTCTTCGGTATAAAATAAGAGAAATAATGAACAACTGTAATGTTTCTTATATTTCAGCATGTCAGTTTAAGGTACAAAAACGAGACTGTGCAATATGGGATTAGGAAAAAGGTATAGAATTAGGAAAGAGTAATCTTAGTGTTTAGGTATAACTCTGGCAATAACTAGCTAGATTGTGACCTTGAGCAAGTCAGTTACCCTCTTTGGAACCCCGTTTTCCCACCTGAGAAACGAATTCCCCACCTGAAGCACACTAGCTGCTTCTTGAGAATATTTCTAGTTTCAATGTTCTCTGTTGCAGGGTATATAAATCATCATATAAAATAGAGACAAGACATAACAAATTCATATAAAAACATAATAATAAAGAGATACCATAAATTAGATACTTTCTATAATGCCCCAACTCATGGGATCAAAAATGGCTTCATGATTTTTTTAAAGATAAATGTCAAATTTCAACTTCAAGCGTAAATAAACACTAACTTTTATCAACTTTATAGACATTTGAGTGACACAAATGTAAATTTATCCCACAAAGTGACTATTTACTAGCTGTTTTATACACTTGAAGTCTAAAGTGAGATTAATAAAAATGATTCCTGTTCAATAGAGTTAAAAATCAATTATGAATGTTCTTTTACCTGGCTTTAAGATCTCTTTTTCTGATGCTTACTTACTCTTCCTGAGAGTTCATATGTTTTCAGTCACTAAATAAATGAAAAAGTATTCACTGAGAATCTTCTATATATTCACGATTGGTGCGTGTGTGGTCGAAGATGGGCCAGGAAGTCTAAGACATGGTTATTATTTAATTTGGAAGATGAGACTAACACACAAGGAAAAAACAGAACAATAAGAAAAATATGTGATAAATGTGCAACAAATGGTAGGAACTATAATTATTTCAAATCATAAAAGTGGGGGGAATCTTACGGGATAAGTATTCAGAAAAAGCTCCATGACAGAGGGGAAATTTGAACTAAGTATATTTTCAGTGGTCATAGAGAAGTAAGGAAGGGCTTTCTAGCAGAAGAATATGTGAGCCAATAAAGGACACTGTGAAATCTATTCAGAGGATAGTGAGTAAATGGATTCACCTGAATCAGAGGGTCCTAGGAAGTGATTCATGGGAAGTGAAGCTGGACATTTAAGTTGAAGCCAGCTGGTGGAGAATGTAAAGCACCAGACCCAAGAGTTTGCGTCATGTTATACTACCATGATTTCTGTGGGGGAAAACCAGACTTAACGAGACCAACTGGAAGTCATTGTAGTTACTCAGGTGTGAAGTGATAAAAAGCTTGACCTAGGGTGGTGACAGTGGTGAAATTAGCAGCATGGTTTCTTAACAAACAGTTGAATCTCTGGGTGATGGATTCAAAATGGCCTCAAGATTACACATCTTCATGTTTAGAACATGGGAATACTTGATTAAAAGATAAAAAGAAGGAGGATCCCATTTTGAGAAGACCTTAAGTTAGTCTTTAGACGTAAGTATCTTCATAGAAGAGTTATATATGGATGTGAATATGAGCATGCTCATTGGAAATGAGGAATTGAAACACAGGAAGTCAGGGCTAGAGATAGAGATTTGAGAGTGATGCAAATATATTCCGATAGTATTTACCATCATGGGACTATGAAACTAACAATTGAGAGTGTATTTATTGAAACAGCTAGAAAGATGAGGCCAGGGTTGCTGGTGGGTAGGGAGAAAAATCAAATTCATTGAAAGAAAAAAGATTAAGATAGAGAAAAATTAAACAGCCAGAAGGCAAAGAAAGATTCAAAAAATAGAGAATGGTCAATTCAATCAAAAGATTCAAATAATTACATTTGAAAGAATGCTGAACAAATACATTGGACTTGCTAATTATGAATTTCCTGGTGACCTTCAGTTTATAACTCTGCCCTTTTAGAGAGTAAATATGTATTTCTTCACAACCGTAAGTTACTGCTTCTTTTCCCCAGAATCTTTTTGATTGCTAAATACATGGGGAATTGAAGTAAGACATCTCTTCTGGTTGAAATTGCTTATTAATGGACCATCTCTTTGTCTCCACCCAAGTCCTACACGATCCAGCTATTGGCTGACCTTCTCTAGCCATCCCAATCTATAACGATATCTTCTTCCAGTGAATGCTCATAGAACAAAACACCTAAACTTGCCATAAATTCTGTAGTATGTTGTTAATTAATGTGCTGTCTTTTCCAAATTAGATTGCAAACTCCAAGAGCATGGATTGTTTCTTAGGCTACCACATTACCTATAAGAGAGCCTTAAAATTTTTTTAAACTTTACTTTTCAGTTTTATTTTTTTAATTTTTCAAAATTTATTGTATCTATTTCTTAATGTACAAGGTTATATTAGTTTCAGGTGTACAATATAGTGATTCAACAATTCTATACATTATTCAATGCTCATCAAAATAAGTTCACTCTTAATCCTCATTTATTTTACCCAACCACCCACCCACCCACCTCCCCTCTGGTAACCACCAGTTTGTCCTCTGTATTTGGAATGCCTTAAAATTAACAGGCTCTCAATAAATATATTTTTAATGAATAAATATGGAATTAATTTGATAGCAGATAACCATTTTTCTTTTCTAATCAAAGCAGAATCAACAGATATTGGAATAGATCATTTTTTAATGTTTATTTATTGGGGGGGTGGGGAAGGGAGGGGCAGAAGGAGAGGAAGACAGAATCTCAAGCAGGCTCTGCACTGTCAGCACAGAGCCCAACACAGGGCTGGAACTCACAAACCATGAGACCATGACCCAAGTCAAAATCAAGAGTCGGTCACTCAACCAACTGAGTCACCCAGGCGCCCCTGGAATAGATACATTCTAAACAGGTTAAGCAAAGTTTCTGATAAAAAGTGTTGTTATTAATGGGAATAAGCTCTGAAGGAAAGACAAAGATAATGTGTCTAGTACTTTTCTCCGAATATTCAACACACAAATTTCATTCCCAACTAAAAGCAAGGAAAACACCTCTGAATTTCCTTCTCAGTTCTACATATCTATTAAATAGCAGAAATTAATTAAGTTCATATAGATGGATAGAAAGTCCTTTAAAATCTAAAAGTATCTTCATCCTCGTATATTCTGCTGAGTTTAAAGCTGCAAGAAGCAATGGAAAGAGTTTAGTTGAATTCAGTCACAGAACTCTAAAATTGAAAGCTATACTATAGAACAGTTTCTTAATTGTATTCTGATAGTTGAGGAAACCGTGAAAAGTGCCAAATAGCTAACTGATGGCAGATTCGGAAAAAAAATCTAAATTACCTGACATACCTTTCACTTCAGAAGGTTTTTTCACCACTCTGAGGAGCTGTCCTGATAGAAAATATGGTATCATCTTTGACTCTTACATGCTTTATCTAATTAGTCATTGGTTACTATCATAAATATCATATATCACTTTTATTTCTCCCCATCGTTTTTTTTCACTTCCCTGATTTAAATCCTCGTCTTTCCTTAGAACTATTATGACACCTTGTTAACAAGGCTCCATTTCAATTCCTAGTTTCTTTAATTCTTTCTTCACACTAACAAAGTTAGTAATAAGCTGTTTTCCTAATTCTGGGCAAGTGAATAATGGTAACTCATCTCCCACTCCACTTCGTACTCAACCTTGCGTGGCTCTCCACTGCTTTCAGACTGAGTTGGCATTTGAGTCGAACTGATATCCTCTTGATCCAACACCATCTTGCTTTACTACTACTTCCTGGTATATGCTTCAATTCTGAAGGACTGCTTACCATTTATACTCTTTTGCCTTTGCTTATGATTTTCCATCAACGTAGAAAGCCATTCATTCTTTTTAGTCTGACAGCATCATCTGCGTTCTTAAAAGCCACCTCTACCAGGAAGCCATCTTATAGTCTCCTACTCAAGATTA